TATATATATATACACATACACACATATATACATATATATGTATATGTATGTATGTATATATGTATGTATACATATATTTCATTTTTTACATATTTCTTGATTGGTAGGGACCACAGAGATATTTTAATCTAACACCTTAGTAGATAGGGACCCCTGCTAAACCATCTTTGCATATGGTTACCCAACCTCTGTTTCAATACTCCTACTGATGGAAAGCTCTCTTAAATAGTTGTCAAACAATGTAAAAGGGTGCCTTCTCATCAGAAGAAGTGGCAGCTAAGTGGCCCAGTGGATAGAGCACTAGACTTGTAGTCAGGGAGATCTGAATTTGAACCTGGCTTAACATCTGCTGTATGACCCTAGAAAAACCACTTCACTTCTTAGCCTTAGTTTCCTCACATGTGAAGTAAGGATAAAATAGCATCTGCCTCTCTGGGTTGTTGTGAGGATAAAATGAGACACATGTATTTGAAAGCTCATTGTAAACCTTAAACTAGTTATTGTTATTTTCTTTAGTTAAATTGAAATTTGCCACCTTGTAACTTCCCTCATTAGATTATGTTCCTCTATGAAGTTTCTGAAAGGGAAAAACAAAACAAAACAAAACAAAAAAACTAAGTCAATCTTAAGATGTTTGAACAGTTAAGTTTCATCCCTCTGATTTTCAGCAGAAACATGAAAGGTGGAAAACATACTCAGTTCCCAATACTGTCTTATGTTGGGTTTATGAATCACACCTACCTAAAAAGGTGTGGAATTTTATTTTAGCTGATGTCCTTTTCTTCAGGAATTATAGAGTGACAGAAATGGATATTGTCTCACTCAGGACAATACTTCCTTCCATGGTACTTTGATTCAAGGGATATACTGTTGGACTTGGAGTTAGTGGCAAGAATTCAATCTAATTATTCATATCTGCATGACTCTGGGTAAGTCACAACCTCTATGAGCTTCATTTCAACCATCTGTAAAATAAGGGTAATACTTGTGGTACCCAGTTCCCAGGAAGGCTCTTAGGCTTAAATAAGATAATGCATGTAGACACTTTAGTAGCATTTTAAAGATAGTAAAGCAGTATGTTATTGTTTTTATGTTTACTATCCCTTGGTGACCTCTGCAAATGACACCTGCAAGTTGGAATAGTTAGAAAGGTCTGTCTGAGTAAGTACAAAGTGACTTACCCAGACAGAGAGGATACAATGAGCAGGGAAAAAGTAGAAAAAAAAACAGCTTGAGACTGTCTCAGGGACATGGTGAAGTAGAAAGAACCTTGGCTTTTAAGTCCTGGCACTTTAGCTGCTTGACCTTGGCCTATGGTTGGGCTAGATCAGCAGTTCTCTAATTGTATGGTCTCAAGACCCCTTTACATTCTTAAAAATTGAGAGACTCCTCCCCAAGATATGACACTTATAAACAATCACCCTTTGTTTATATGGGTTATATCTAAGACAATCTGCCATATTAAAAATTAAAAGGTCTTAGCATTATTGTGAAATTAGTTTTGGTCTTGGGGACCACCAGTGTTGTATTACAGTGACCCAAATGAGAGATGATGAGTACCTGGTGATGAGGATGTGTGAGTGAGGATGAGGGGGAAGATCTCTTTTAAAGACAGAAATGGCAGAGCTTGATAAGCAATTGACCTCTATCCTTTATCACCTCTGCATATCCAAAGATGATTCCCCAGGAAATATTCTTTGATTTCCTAATTTTTTATAGTATTTTTGTCTCTATCACTTTAAGTTGCAGAATAATTGTGGATTTGCACAGAGAGGATTACATTTTAGGAAGCATTCTAAACTGGTGAAGTTACAGATACAGACTCCCAAAAAGCTTCACTAACAATGTCTGACCAGAGATTTCTTACCTAGCCTTAATCACTGATTGGGTGTTGCTGCAGTCAAACTGAGGCCTGGGAAGGACTTTAGCTTAAGAAGGTCAAGTTCTCCCACTCTATCCAGGGCCATCTCCAGATTTGGACCCAGATGGCTCCAGAGCAGAAAGTGAGGCTGATGACTTTGCATAGTCCTTCCTCACTTAAATCCAATTCACTTGCATGTCCTGGCATCACCTCCCTGATATCATGGTCCTTTTTGAGAATGAAGGACAAACAGCCAACCTGTAAGTAATAGGAGCTGCCCCACTGGGGACCCGACTGAAACTGTCCAGTTGGGCAATACAGTTCTTCTCTTTTCTCTTTTGTACCTTTCACAAGGTAGACTATGATATCTTAGATCATAAGTTCCTCAAAAGCAAGGGTTAATATGGGTATCTATTTTTAAAATTTTAGTCTTTCTCTCACTAAGCCTGCTGGCTGATAAATAGTATAGACTTCATAAGTTTTGTTGAATTTTTGAAACAATTGGAAGTAGTTGCTCTGCACCAAAAGATTTTGGGAAAAATAAAGGGCTCTGTTTTGGAACTATTGGTCATGGTCATGAGCTATCTAGCAATCTGACTTTTTCGCTCCTACTTATGAGAAAATTTGAAGAAGGGATCTTCAAAACTAGAGGTAGAGGTTTATCACTCATGCTGGGAAAGTTAGTGAGATCTATGTTTGTTTCCTCAATATTTTCTTGGAAAAGTAATGAAATTTCTGTAGAAAAAATCATGGATAATCAATATCAAGTTCTTGTCTCAACAAATTTAATACAAGTAACTCCTAGGTGCCAGGCATTGGAGATATAGAGACAAAAATTATCCCTGCCCTCAAGAAGATTATGTTATTTTTTAGTCTTTTTTTTAAAATTCAAAATGATAGATTAGTCTTAGGGAATTTCATAACAAAACAAGGATATAACACTTCTATTTTACTTGTCAGCATCTGAGAACATGAGGGAAAGCAAATCATGACTACCAGCTGTTCATTGCCACACATTGTGTTGGATGGAGGTATAAAAAAATATGTTGAGACAGGTAGAGAAAACAAATTATACATTGAGAGTCTAATGGGAAATTTTTCTGTTACGGAATGTATTAAGAAGTTGTGATGAAAGCTTAATGAATTATCCATTGTTTTATTTATTTATTTATTTTTTACTAGGTGCACCAAGGTCATTAAACAGTAGAAATCAAATATTGATAAGTCATATTGTTTAAAAACAACACTTTCCAGGAAACAATTTAAAATGACTTAGTAATGGAATGATTGTATGCAGGACAGATATAGATGACTGGCAAAATTCCTCTGCCAAGGGAGATTACATTCTAATGAGATGGAGGACACAATGTGTACATAAATAAAATAATGTTTTTAACATGTATTCTCTCACAACTGTGAGGTAAGTAATGTTATTACCCTCATTTTGCAGATGAGAAAAATGGGACTAATAGAGGTTATTTTTAAATGGTGCTTGGATCCCACAGCCAGTAAGTATCAGTCAGGAAGAAATGAGTTCAAATCCTGTCTCATAGTTAATGAGGGATTTCCATATTATTGGAAGGATTGTCCTCGGGGACCCTTATTCATTCAAGTGGTAAAAGTAAGCCATGACTGTCTTGTATCCAGTGAGGCTAGAAGGACCTGGTTTGCAATCATTGAGAAAGAAGGAGACTAGAATAAGAGTTCTGAATTCCCTCTTATGAAGAGGGGCAGGAGTCAATGTATAACCAGGAGGGAGAAAAGAGATATTGACAACAAGATTTGGGAGAAGGGTTCCCTGTGGTAGATGATTCCCTGTGCTCTCCTAGAAGCAGTGGAATATGAGTAGTGGGTAGACTGGTTTCCTCATAGTGCCTGTTCCAATGAGTTTTCTGGCATCTGGCAGGATCTAGATAGTAGATAAGATGGGGGTAGGGAAGATAACAGAATGGTTTTGGAAATATTATGGAAATAGAATAGAAAGACCTGGCTCCTGATTGGTTATGGGAGTTGACAGGGAGGAAAGAGCCAAGCATAACTCCAAGGCTAAAGAACCAAGTGACTAGAGGATGGTGGTGGTACCATCAACAGAACTTGGAAGTTTGGGGGATGAATGGATGTAAGGGAAAATGAATTCCATTTTAATGTTTGTAATGACTTCACTAAATTAATCAATAAGTACTCTATGAATCCACATTAGTCTCTTTGCCTCCACATTTATTTTTCATTAGAATCATTTGTATTTATATCAAAGCTTCATTTAAATTTTTGATTATTAATTTTTAAATTTTTATTAGTATCTTGTTTAAAGACTCTAATCATCATCTTCATTACCAAGGTATGTCACCCCCTCAAAAATTAACCTCAAACCATTCCTTATAACAAAGTATAAAAGAAAGATGGGAAAACACCATTAAATAAAATTTGCTAGTACTTCAGCTAAATCTTGTATATATAATATACTGCACACCTATCCATCTACTTGTGTAAATAAGGGAAGGAAGAACATTTTCTTAGCTCTTTCTTTGGGCCAAACTTTGTCGTCATAATTCTACTGTTCAGATTCAAATTCCTCCCTCCCATTTATATAGTTGTAATCATTGTTACCTTGTTTTCCCTCGTTTTGCTTTGAAATCATTTCATATAAGCTATCCTTCCCATGCTTCTCTGTATATTTCATTTTCTTATGGCACAATGATATTCTAATACATTCAATTACCACAATTTGTTTAACCATTCACCATTTGATAGGCATATACTTTCTTTCTACAATGAGAACTACTATGAATATTGTTGTGTATGCATGGGACTTTTCCATATTTAACATCTGTGTTTTTGTCAGTGGGATCAGAGCTTCATTCTCTTTAGAAGAGCTTTCTATTCCTATTGTGCAGACTTTTTAAAGAGAGTTTCAGGCTATGGAACCCTACCTCAATGTTCTTTGAAGTCTGTATCTCAAATGTCTCTGGAAATCCAGAGTTCTTGTCATTGCTTGACTTCTCTATCATGATTCTAAGATGGATATTTACATATACAGTAGTAACATCCAAAATGCACAACAGTAGCAAAGGGAGTGTTTCTTTCTCACACTGTATCTCCAGGCTCTGATTACCTTTTCGATTTTACTTACAGGAAGCAAATCTCTCCAGTGATGTTGGGATACCCATCCAATCATACATCTTCTACCACTTTCTTCCTCATGGGTGTCCCAGGCTTAGAGGAGGCTCACCGCTGGCTGGCAGGCCCGCTCTGCACCATGTATACGCTAGCTCTTTTGGGGAATAGCTTCATCATAAATATAATTTGGACAGACCCTGGACTACATGAACCCATGTACTTTTTCCTATGTGTTTTAGCTACAGTGGATATTATCATGGCAACCTCTGTTGCTCCAAAAATGTTGAGCATCTTCTGGTCAGGCAATGGCAGCATTAGCTTCACTGCTTGCTTTTTCCAGATGTACATCATCCATACAACCACAGCCATTGAATCAGGGCTTTTGCTAGCCATGGCATTTGACCGCTATGTGGCTATCTGCAAACCCCTCCATTACAATACCATCCTCACACCACGAACAATTATTGGCATTAATATGGCCAATGTATTGAGAGCCACCATTGCCTTAATCCCCCTGAGCTGGATGGTGAGTCACCTTCCATATTGTGGCTCTCACATGGTCCCCCATTCCTACTGTGAGCACATGGCTGTGGCCAAATTGGCATGTGCTGACCACAAGCCCAGCAACCTCTATAGCCTGATTGGTTCCTCCATTATTGTGACCATTGATGTATCTTTCATCATTGCCTCCTACAGTCTTATCCTTCAAGCTGTGTTCAATATCTCTTCCCAGAATGCTCGCCATAAGGCACTCAGCACATGTGGTTCCCATGTAGGGGTCATGGTTCTTTACTACCTGCCTGCCATGATGTCCATCTATTTGGCTTGGTTAGGACAGGGCTTTGTTCCCCTTCACACCAGGGTGCTGCTGGCTGACTTGTACCTGGTCATCCCCCCAATGCTGAACCCTCTTATTTATGGCCTGAGGACTAAGAGGATTTCAGAGCATGTGTGGAACATAGTGACCACCAGTTTCTTTAATTACCATTTCTTAAATCTTAAGGAAAAAATGCATAAGTAGGTAGTTTTTATGGTCAAACATTTTATACTCACAAAGTTGGAGTGGTTATGCTCTGGAGTAGGTGCAAATACTGGAAAAGATTGCTTTCTTGGCCATTATTGGCATCCTTTCTCATTAGGACTAGTCTCACATGTATGTAAGATAGTCATCTTGTATGTTTTTTTTTAAGTTCTTAAAGGTTTTTTTGATTTTGGTTTTTTTTTTTCCTCCCTGTCACAATGCATAAAATTCCCACACTGAAAATGTAATTGTGCATCTTGAAAGCTTGATGTTTTTCAGTCATAATTCTGGAAAAGGCATATACTCCTGGGAGGTGTTATCAGTAAAGTTTTCTTTTCAAGTCATTTATGAACTTGAGGAGGGTAAAGAGGAAGAAATTCCCATTTCAATGACTTCAAATACTAATCCTCTGTGTGTTACATTTATAGGACTTTGTTCCATACTGGGAAAGACCAAATTTGCTCTTAAGGGAAGCTCTTCAGTGTTTTTTCCTCAGTGCTTGATTAACTTCATTGAATGATAATTGATTCTCCACGTTAGTGATCTTGCCCTCTTCAAATGTTCTCATAGGTATTTTTCTGTGAACATGTAATTTGACCTTATTTCTCCACCATAGAATGTAAGATTCTTGGGGGCATGAACTTTGACTTTTGTCTTTTTATCTCCAATATCTTGTATGTTATAGATGCTTTGTAGATATTTATTGAATTGAATTGAGTGATAATGAAGGTGGTAGTCCGATACTGGGATAAGCTTCTGTGTAGCACTCACACTTCACCCTCCTTCTCCTATTATGTCTGAGGGAGCAGGAGAGGCAGAAAGATGAGCTAAGCTTGGCATCTCTTCTTCTTCCACATTCAAAACCAAAGAAAGAGAGAAGAAAATGACATATGGCAAAAAGAAAACAAGATGGCAATGATGGCAAAAGGACTCCCTTTCTATTTCTGGTCTATAATCCGTCATTTCACTAGTGAAGCACAGCATTAGAGGAGTGAACCAAGTCTTATACTGACAAAAATGATGAATAGCAGTCAAAGAGCAAGATCACAGGTTGTTTCCTGTGACAAAACTGTGCGTGGGAAAACAATGAAAACAGGGGCCACTCCCACAATTCCTGAATTCCTTAATTAACTTGATAGCCCCTTGGAAAGAATGGGAAAACAGATGGGTGATGCTTAGATCATGACTGGGGAGGTCTAAAGAATAGTTGATGAAAGTGACATCTGAGTTCCTGGTTGAAGTTACTGAATCTAGGCATCTGAACTGTCTTGAAACTTCTGGATCTGTGACTTACCTAAAGGCTGGCCTGAATATTTGGGCCTGTAAGCAAGTTAAGAAGCATTTATTAAGTACTTACAACTTTCCAGGAACTATGATAAGTGCTGGGTATTCAAAGCAAGGGAGAAAACACTCACCTTACACACACTAACACACACACACATACACACACACACACACACACACACAGAGGTAGCTCACAGTCTAATAGGGGAGGTAATATGCAAACAACTACACACAAATAAGATATACACAGGATAAATTGGAGATAATTACAGAGAGAAAGCACTAACGAATGTCAAGGAAGACTGGGAAAGCCTTCTTTTAGAAGGTGGTATTTTAACTGAGACTTGAAGTCCATGTAATTAGTAGCTTCAATATATTTTATTTCATTTCTTTTATTTCTTTGGTCATAAGTGAAGACTATGTACCAATAAACATTTGTGTTTAGACTCCATTGTTCTGTGATTAAAGATCACTAAAAAAGTGAATTTAGGAAAAGGGGGGTTAGTGGGTCTGGGGGATTGAGCTAAGATCTAATTGGGTAAATTCCCTGATCATACCCTACTCCCCAGTCCCATATTAATAAGAGAAGAAACAGCCTCATAGTAAAGGGTGAAGCTGGTGACAGAGGTAGCAGCTCTCTGAGAATCATGAAGAGATTAGCATTCTCCTGAGAAGCCCCTGATGTTGAGGAAATATTTGTGCCCAACCTGTGGTAGAGCCTTCCAAGCTAATACTGGTCTGATCAGTCATAGTTCAATACCCTACCCCTTGACCACAACATAGTGATGTCATTTTGATTCTCTTTGATTATGAAGGACAACAACCAACCAATTGTTTCTACTAGTTTTTTTTTAGTTAATTTTTTAGGGTTTTCTAAGTATACCATCATATCATCTTCAAAGAGTTATAGTTTTGTTTCCTAGGTGCCTATGCCACCAATTTATTTTTCTGATATTATTGTTATAGCTACAGTTTCTAATATAATATTGTATAATAATAGTCACAATAGACAACCTTACTTCACCCCTGATCTTATTGGGAAGATATATAATTTATCACCATTACAAACACTTGCTCTTGGTTTTAGATACTACTCATCATTTTAAGAAAAGATCCATTTTTTTCCTACACTTAATAGTGCTTTTAATAGGAATAGGTGCTATATTTGTAAAAAAAATTTTCTGCATCTATTGAGATAATTATATGCTTTTGTTGTTGTTGTTGATATGGTTGATTATGCTGGTATTTTTCCTCATATTGAACCAACCCTACATTCCTGATATAAATCCCACATGGACATAATAAGTGCTGGGGATTTAAAGCAAAGGAGAAAACAGTTAGCCCACCCACAGGTAACTCACAATCTAATAACAGAGACAATATGCAAACAACTACACACAAACAAGATATATACAGGATAAATTAGAGATAATCACAGAGCGAAGGCACTAATGAATGTCAAGGAAGACTGGGAAAGCCTTCTTTCATAAAGTAGGATTTTAACTGACACTTAAAGTCCATGTAATTAGTAGTTTCGATATCCTTTATTTAATTTCTTTTATTTCTTATGATTGACTAGGTGAAGGTGGAATTATCAGTACCTAGCATCAAAGAGCTTGGCAGAGCCCATTGGTATGTTAATCTGTTCCTTAGCAAATCAAATGTGTTTTCTACTACTTTACATATTACATGCACATGCAGTACAAAGGTGTTAGGTGTCATGGGAGATTTCTTGTATCAAGTCCAAGTAAAAGATTCCTCATTGAAGAAAAGAACATTTAGAGAAACCTACTACCACTTACTAGAATAATCTCAGGCACCAGTCATGGAGCTTAGAAGAAAAGAGAATCTTAACCCAGTGTGTCTAGCTTTTAAAAAATTATTATATATAGTGGTTTGTAATCTCTGACTATGACTAATGTTTTGCCAAATGGCCATTATCGGAAAGAGGCTTTGTAGTGACTATACCATCTCAAACTGGAGCTGAGAGATCAAGAGAGATCAAGACTAAAGTAATGAAGCTCAGAAGATGGTATCTGAGAACAATGGCCATCAGTGAACAGGAAACAAGGAGAGTTATATGCTTAATTGAGAGTAGAGAATCCGAAGAGGAAGAGGTGATCTACAATGGCAGAGATGTGACTTGATGCCTGGGTACAGGCAGAGCAGAAGTAGGTGCAGAGGAAACTGAGTAATGACAAGAGAAAATAGTTCTGTAGTTATCAGAAATGTGATTTTTCTCTCACAACAATGTCCTGACTAGAGTTCCCTATGTGTATATAGAAATGAATTGGCCCTATCCATTTACAGTAACTGTATTTGTGAGAAAACATGCCCCAATTTTATGGGGGGATGTGCCAGTGCTTCTTTTCTTACCACATAATTTCACTGAATATTTTTACTTTTATTAGCCAGAAAATACTATTAGTTCAAAATAAATACACTGGTTGGGGCTCATGACTATATTGTTGAGAAGATTTGGATATACAGAGTACCTCAAACCTATCATAACTTATGGGGCCTGTCATTTGAGGCTATGTGTGCCCCAAGTACTACATGAAACATAAAGTAAAATGATTATGAGCACAAAGGAGTAGAACGTGGTTATTTAGAGTGAGAGAAAAAAGATGAATAGTTTTAGTGGTGCTTTCAATATCCTGAAGAAGATGAAGGTCTCCATTGTGGTGTTTGGAGCATCAATGGAGGGTTTAGGGGAGGGTACAAATAGAAAAGATTATCACAGGTAAAAGTATGGTGGGTAATGATCTCTGGAGGGGAGGTCCTGCCCACGCCAAGGTAATTAATTTAGATGGACATTACATTTTAAAGTGTATGTGTGTGTGTGTGTGTGCATGAGCATTCCATGAACTGGGATGTAAAACTTAAAAAAGCCTGTAGATGTTTGTAAAGAAACCAATTCCAAACTCTCTGGTGTCAAATTCAGATGTTAGTGAAGTTCGTATCCTTGGAAGGTTCTATTTGGTACAGTCAGAGAGATCCCTGCTGTAGTGGTGTAAACAGTTGGACCCCAACTTTCCCTTCCCTTTACTTCTTTCATGTCTGCTCCAGTGGCTGAGAGCTCTTAAGGACCAGGACCTGGAAAAGCAGATACACCCATTTTAGGGTTTGAAGGGGCCTCAGCAGCTGTGTAGTCCAATGCATCTCTGAAAAAGACACGCAACAAATATGTAACATATTTGAAGTCTTCCAATTTCCTCTTAGAGATGAAAAATATTCCCTCCTGTTGCAGCTCACTCTATTTTTGGACATCCTTGATTATTAGGAAGCCTTTCCTCACATAAAGACTGTGTAACTTCCATTTTCTCAGTCTTCATTCTTCTTAATCTCTCTGCAGTATTTGATAATGTCATCTTGTTTCACCTATGCCTCTTGGAAACCCTGGTTTCTTTTAAGATTTAGTTCAAGCAATATTTTCTATATGAAGCCTTTTCTGATTTTCCCTCCCCTCCCCTCAATCTGTCAAAACTATCTTGCCTTTCTTTTCTACATATTCTGAACATTCTTTTTTAATTTTTTTTATTTTATTTTTTAATTTGTAAATTTTTTTTAACATTCTTATATGCATTATGTTTTCCCAGTCAGAATGTAAGTTTCTTATGGGTAGGTACTGTTTCACTTTTGCATCTCCATTGTTTAGTACAATGCTTAGCCTTAATGAACATTTACTAAGTACTCTTTCTGGATAGTCTCTCCTT